TTGTCCATTTGGTGGAAATTTCCAGCGGATGTCTTTCTCTTTCATATTTTTTTCCAATTTGTCAAAATGTGTTTAACTGTTATCCTTTCTGTACAAACATCACAAAACGGAGTATCTTATTTTGCTACTGCTTGGATACTTCTTGCCTGGAACCTCTATGAGATGAGGCCCAAGGTTTTACACAGTCTTTTACCTCCCTAAATTTGACATTAGAAGTCGTTTCCCATTCCTTTTGCAAAGACTTACTGCTTACTTACTTACTTATTTACTGCTGCAAAGACTTTCTTTTATGCCAAGCCGTCACATCGGATTTTGTTTTTTTTGTAATTTTATCTCCATTGAGGACAGCCTGCTTTGCCAAATGGTCCACTTTCTCATTACCAAATATTCCGCAGTTTCCAGGAATCCACATGTATACTACACTATTTCCCTGATTTTGCAGTAATTCAATGGCAAATAGGATGTCTTATATTACTGGATGTACTGAAAAGTTGTTTTTGTCTGCCAATAGCGCCGACAAAGAATCAGTACAGAAGACTATCGTTTACCTGGAGGGGACTAATATAGTTAGCTCTTTGCTCAGCAGTATAGCTGCCACGTATATGTTGTAGGGTAAACATACACTGCGCATTATTTTTACAAATGAAGAAAGCAGCACCTGCCCCTACATCATTTTTTGAGCCATCTGTAAAACAGTGTTGCATTCAAAAAGGTATTTATTGTTTTATAAAATTCTGACTATACATGTAGGGGGGAGTATTCTGCTTTAAAAATTTAGTAAGGTCTAAGTATAAATTATGCTTCGGAAGCAGCCAGGGTGGTTTGGATGAAACTCCGATTTTATAGAGAGGGGGATAGCAGCATTTATTAATTGGAAATGAGCAGCCTCTCTAGATGGAAAGTGTTTTCGTTGACAACATAGAGTATTTTCAAACGGAATGGAGTTTCCGCTTGGAAAAAGGGAAACTGAAGGATGGGAAGGGCATGAGAGAATTTTCACTGCAAAGTTCAAATCAAGCCTTAATCTCCTATGATCGAGGGGCAATTCTCCGGCTTCTCCATGCACATTAATGAGCTGTTTAAACTAAATCTATTCTCTACAACGGATTCAACCCGGGGACAGGCTACCACTACACCCAACGGGTTGCACTGGGCTTCTCGGACCAAGGAAAAGTCTTCACGGATTCAAACTCCTGCCACGCCGACCATATAGAATCTTGCTCAGTCAGGTTATTTATTTCCATACATCTAGTTGGTTGAATGGAAAAACGTAATAATTTCGCATAGATGGCAGTGCGGTGTCCAATATTTTTCGCAATCATCCTTAGGGGATGTCTATGTACTCTTAAAATACGTGGGATGATTAACCTATTGAAAGATGGTTGTTAGAAAAAACCGGTGGCCATCCACCTCCGCCTTTGCGTATGACCTTTCTTGCACCCCGGCCGCACGGGATACGAAGGATCGGACCGTCGTTGAGGACGCTCAGACTACGCTGACGGAGTCCCTCGAATGCGTGAGAAATGGAGGATGGGAACGGATACTGGTCGGTGGTGCCTACATGAATGGCGTACTTTACCGAAGGCAGTCTCCTCTATTGGGTGATTAGTAATTCCGCTTTAAAAAAAACCGCGGCCGGAGCGGATCCCGAAGTTCTTACTCTGGATGAATGCCAATACTCTGGGAGATAACGGACCTTCTCTATCTAGGGAATGAGTGGGAGACCAGGCTGATGCATTTCAGCCACCTTGGGTAGCCCTTTACCCGCGGTGTACGGTCTGATGCTCTACGCAGACCCGACCACTCGGAATGGGCAAGCGGGGAGTGAGATTCGTCTTTCTGTGTGTAGGAACTATCTTTTTAAAAAATGATTGAACACCGAACTCACTCCATCATTCATCATTTCTATAATTTCTACAACGCAACACACTTCAGTCGTGAGCGGAGGTGCGTCATCTCTCATCTTGAGAATCAAAACGTCCGGTGAGGGCATGAGCCAGGTATGGACGCTAAAGATTCTCGTTGTCCTTTTAAGGACGACCGAGTATTTTGGAACGGTTGTTTGAAGAAATCATGTTTTAAAAGATAATTCTACTTTTTATAAAATATTTAAAAAAATCACTAATTTTTATGTTAAATATCATTTTTATACACCGTATTCGTTATATTTTGTATCAGTGGTGCTATTAGTTTCCCAGAGTAAATAGTGAATATTTGGATATTTTGCAGTATATTGGATTTACGATGTGGGGTAAAAATTTAAATAAGCGTTTATGTGTCGCCAGTGAAATAGGCCCTTTGAAAATTCAAATGAACTCTCCCAACCCCCAATTCTCATAAATCCACCCGGTCGAAACAGAGCAAAAGGCCGGGCAACAAAACAGTAAGAATATGCGTAAACAGGGCCGGATATATGGAGTGAGAAGGTGAGAGGGAGAAGGAGAGATTCGGCCCGATACATAATAAATCCCTTCAGCGAAGAAGGAAAGCACCGGTGCGAGGAAAGAGAGCGATAGACGTCCGGGGGTCGGAGGGGGTGAACCGCTATATGTATAAAGGGGAAAAAAATCCCTCTATTTCCATCTCACTCTCTCCATCTCTTCGAGCCACCCCCCTTTTATCATTTACATAATGGCTGTCTCATCGATCAGTCGATAAAATTGTGCGATGCTAAGTCAAAGCCGGCCGGCCACCCTCCGCAGCGACACGAAGTTCTCCGAGGATCGGTGCGAACTTGACGAGGGATCCTACGAAGATTCGAGAAATAGAACTTATGGTCGCCATGGTTACACCCGAGGTTGAATACTCCCGACAGTGACGTGCTAATCAATTCAGCAGCGGCGTCATCGCTTTCAGCAGGCCATCGTAAATGGAGTCGAAAGGGCCAATTTTGATAAGGCCTTTATATCATCTCGTGTAATAGCGGACACAATGAGTAAAAACTTTTTTTTTCAACCCTCCAAAGAGGGAGAAAAGGAATCCCTTAGATGCTTATTACTATATAAAAATATTCCAAGGGGAGCGCCGTTTAGGCATAACAATATCGGTATTCTCTTCTTACTAAAAAATTGTAAATCCTTCATGTTTCCTTAAGCCTGATATATTTCAAGCCCGCTTGATAAGTTAATTTTTTGAATAAATGAGCACAATCTACGTGAAACGCAATAAGTTACATAGGTAATATATATAGAGAGATAATATAAAAAAGAAAAACGAAAAGTCATGGAATGGAGAAGCTGTCCAGTCCACCCCTAAATCAGAAATCATCATTTACTCACTCGCCGGACATTTAGGTCGTTATAGATGGCGCAGTTGAAACATAAAACTAGAATAGAAAAATGTGATAATAGTATAATTCATCAATTTTTACCCTTTGCTCAATGCAAATAGGTGTGTCTGGAGGTGAGCTATGGCGTGGTCAGGGTTAGAAATTAAAATGGCATTATCATCTACTTATGTTAGGATTGTGGTGTCGGGATGGAAAGGGAGCAGTACATATTGAGTATATAGTAATTGTAGGCCGAAGACGATACCCTGAGTGACGCCCGCTTCCACCCTGTACAACGGAGAGTGTGAGGATCCGACCCATTCTCTAAAGTGCCAGATAGGAGTTAAGAATTAGGAAGTGGTAGACGGTAGGATAACCCGTGAGTTTTCCAGAGCAAACCGAGGTGCTAGACTCGATTGAAAGCTTGTCCGACATTGAGAAAGACCCCCGAGGAGCATTTTTTTTTTTAAGGAACGATGCGATGATTTCCACACGATGGCATTGTTGGATTCATATGTGCAGTTATAAGGCACAAAAAGCATTCTTACCTTTATGAAATGACATTTTTCTAAATGTCTATATGATGATAACCCTGATCCTTGGTTGTTTCCGGTCATTTTAGTCTGTCGTAGGCGTTTTCTCTTTTCACCATCTTCAGTGTTGGGTTACAGTTTTTTTAATAGTGATAAGAGCCGTTTGTATTTTTTTCCATTGGGAGTCAAAGGGATTTCCGTTAGCTCTTAGAATTTTGTTTAATTGTGCCGTTCTGTGGCAATCTTGGAAGATTTACCGAACTATGGTGACAAAATCTTTAGTGCTCAAGAACGGCTTTCCCAGTAACATAGCCTTTTGCTAGTTATTTCTGGGCTGGTCTGTTCTTTTGTGTCTATTTTACACATAACCATTTGGTCATCTGTTAATTGTCTCATTGTTTTAGGGAGAGACTTGGCTCGACCATATCCTGTAAATATACCAGTTTTTTATTCCTTGTTAAGTAGGGATCACTCTTTCCCCATTTGGGTTGATTTTGCTACCAGTCTTTTTGCTTGTTTTTGCCTGTTCGCTCACAGTATTTATTGTGTTCTTTAGGTAACCCTAGATTCCAGTCCTTTAATAACTGTAACTATAGTTTATGCTAAGCAATAGATTTGTGCCTACTTTAAAAAAAGACAAATATAGCTACCTTGGTGCCTGAAAATCATGATCTAGTATCCACAATAACATTAGGCTCTGGCTAGATTTTTAGGGAGTTTCAGTTTTTTGTTCACACCGTAGACATAGAGAGTCTTTAAAGCTGCCAAGCTATCAAAAACTATTGTTATTAATAGGTATTAAGATTTTTATTATTTATTTTATGTGTACATGTTTCTAGGCTAGCAGTTCGGCTTGAAACGTGTTGTGTAGCCGAAGGCCATGTAGTGCTCAAGGTTTTGCCCGTTTATGCCCATGTCCTTACAATTTCCCATCTTTGAGATTTCCATAAACCATAAAAAAGTATCAGGTTTATATACTTTTGTTTTATTTAACAAATCAGCTCTCTTTTCAATAATTATTATGAATGCTTTTTCAAACCATAGTATTTTCTAAATAAACTATGATTTATTATAACTATTGGATCATGTAAATACAAACTGAACATATTTTAAAAATTTTGAATTTTTTTCACATTTTCAAATATTGCCTCGTGTTAATGCAGTCTACCATATGGTTTTAAGTGATGAATGACTGTATATAGTTTAAACTCTGTTCGCATTTTTCCAATTCTTGTCAATTTCCTGTTCCATTGAAAACAGAAAAAATCGAATTTTTTATGATCTATGTTGTTTCTTTGAGCTTACCATTTTGTGTGTAACTATATAACAAGAAGTAAATAATAATATGATTTTTATTAATAATTAAACACATTTGTAAAAGACATGTAGCAAGTGCAAGATTTGTATTTTTTTTATATTCTAAGCATTCCGTTTTTACGCCTTTCTGGTTCTTCTATTTGTGAATTAATTGATTATTAAAAACCATCCACGATGGGAGTCACCGACTGGAAACTGATGACATTCGCGGGAAATGAAAATTTCCGAAAGGCCTGCGAAAAAGAGGCGGATTCCCGCTATTATTGGGTCGAGAAATGGGGATGGATCACGAAGGAAATCATGTGAGTAGATTGCGTCGGAGAGTCTGTAACTTACGTGTTACGCGTTGTAAATCGTTTTGTTAAAATAATTTCATTGCAGAGACGTGAATACGAAGATGCTAGAATTGAAAGCGGAACGGGCGAATAGGCGGGAAAGTCTGGAATTGAAAAGGGAAAACGAAGAGAGCTCCGAGGAAATTATTGTACTTCAAGACCCCTGCCCATTTCCCGACACGACAAACCACGAGGTATACCAAAGCATAATTATACTAAGCATAAAATACTTTTACCTCACAATTGCCGTACATAATCCAGCCTATTTCTCCGTTCAATAAAGAAGGTATTTCCCAAGACAAGATCCTGAGCCCTATGCTTGTTAAAGTTTTTATTACACTTTAATGCACAATATAGTTACTTAATAAGTTTGTTATTAACCAACCAAAGCTATTATACAGACCCCTGTTCTTGAGAAAGCGCTGACTAAATCGAAATAAGTTAAATCTCAAATTTCTTGTCGCTCGCTCACCAATATTGTCTAGTATACATCAATATGCAGTATAGTAATTGAATACACTACATTTTAATACTCTGTTGTTAAGCAACATATTAAATGTATTTTTAATTTTTACAACCTGCAACAGGCGTTTAGTTTTTTATTCAGTTTAGTTTACTCTGTCACTAACCAACAATTAGAACCTCCTTAGTTGTTTAGTGCTGCCTACATCTCACACCTACACCTTCTAAGTCGGTAAGTTACCAATTAAGGTAGTTTAATAAGATGGGAATATTTTTTTTCTTTTATCAACGTTTAATGATACAACTTTCCATGACCTATTTCATTTTCTAACACTTGAATGCACAATATAGTTATTTAATGCAGTTTACTAGATGTAGATGTAGATGTAATATTCGGGGTGTAATATACTGCGCTCTTTACGAGCTATTGTATCCTCCGTTCTCTGCCTAAAGCACACCGGTGACGCCTATTTCATCAAAAAATTTGATTAGCAGGCCCGGTTTCAGTGGTTGAATCTCTACGGTCCCATTGGACATCCCAAAGCACCCTCCTGCGGGCAAGTGTGGCACCGCAGTTTGTTAGTAGATGTGTGGGTGTCTCCTCTTTGCAGAATCTGCATGTGCCGTCTTGGTTTATTCCAATCTGCTTTAAGTGTCCATTTAGCTTGCAGTGTCCTGTAAAGAATCCTAGTAGGATTCGCAGTTTATTCCTGCTTCCTTTGACACTTTCTGTAATTTCTTTTCTTCCGAAATTTGTTAGGAGAATCTTGGATTGCCTGTGTCCCATGAGCGAATTTCATTGTTCTTTCATTTTCTTTTTGTCCTTCTGTCTGAGATACTCATTGATAGGGTGGGTTCCTATGCCACAGAAAGGTTCGGGTCCTTTCAGCGGTGTAGCAGCTCCTTTCCTTGCAAAGCGCGTCCGCTTTCTCGTTGCCTTCGACTCCCATGTATCCTGGGACCCAGCAGACTTTGTTCTGCGTACCTAAAATATTTAATTTGGTTTTGCAGTTCAACACCATCTTTGGACTAATGATATCTGGGCTTAGTGCTTTGATGGTTGCTTGGCAACCTGACATGATAGCCATGTTCTTGTTTTTGTATCCTTTATTCAAGTTGAGTTGGATACATCTCTCGATTGCCTAAATCTCAGCTTGGAAGATACTGGTGTATTTTCCCATGGGTTCTGAGTATTTGGTTCCAGGACGGAATACTCCAACCACTGTACCTTCTTGTGTTCTAGATCCATCTGCGTACCAAAGGATGGTGCCATTCTTAAAGGGGTGTTTCCCTCTTGTTCCCATTCTTTTTTGGTACCTAGATTTATTTGGAAGTTTTGATTAAATTCAAACATCCTGTTCATGTCGTCTGTTGGAGCCATGAGTATCGGATGGTCTTTCATTATTTTGTTCCTATCTCTCTATTTTAGTTTTATTCCTGTTGGAGGTTTCTCTTTGATAATACTAATGATAGTTTTCTGTGCTGTCCTCGTTACCATGTGGTGTAGGGAGATTAATCCCAATACTTTTTCCATACTAACTGTGGGACATGTTCTCATTGCTCCCGTTATGCAGATGTATGCAAGTCTCTGTATTTTTGTGAGTTCTTTTCTTTTAGTTGCTTGTTCTGCTTTGTCAGGCTTCAGCTCCGTATGTAAGTATGGGTCTTACTATCATGGTGTACATCCAAAACAGGGTTTCCGGTCTACATCCCCAGTTCCTTCCTGCTATTCTTCTGCACACCACCAAAGCTCGAGTCGCCTTCGTGATGGTAGAGCCGCTGTGCTTCTTAAATGTTAGTGTTTTATCTAACGTGATGCCCAGATATTGACTTCTTTTTTGATCTCTATCACAGTGTTATTGAGTGTTATTTGCCTCATGTGATCTAGTTTTCTTTTCCGTGTAAAAGCGACTATGGTCAAAATCAGCGGCTTTACACCATTCTTCTGTGATTTTTAGTCCCTCTTGGATTATGTCACAGAGAGTTTCCTCCAATTTTCACCTAGCAGTCAGGACTATGTCGTCCGCATATCCCTGACATTTTATCCATTTACGATCCAGGGTATGCAGTTTATTACACATGTATTTACTGTTCACTAACCAACAATTACAACCTTTTAAGTTCGTTGAGCAAATGCTTCCTTGATCGAAATGCTGCCTAGATACCACACCAATAATTTCTAGCTATAAGATGGTTTATTAAACTTTAAACAAAGTATAGTTTTTTAATACAGTTTAATACCGTGTATAATATTACGTTTTGTTACACATAGTACACAGTATATAATATGTATAAACAATATTAATGAACAAATCCTTTTTTCGCCTAGGGTGTCGAGAATGTGGCGTTTTAAAAAGCAATACCTTATAGCCGTCAAGTTTTCTAATAATATTTATTTATTAAACTTTAGTTCGCAATATAATTTCTTAATACAGTTCAATACGCTGTTAGTAATTAATATTTATATTATTTTTGTTGTTGAGTATACGTCTCCTAATCGATATGCTGTCTTGATCTCATACCAATAACTTCTAGTGTCCATGTTAAAGATTGTTTATTTAATTTTAATACTCAATATAGTTATTTAAATCACTTACTCACTAACCATCACTATCGTTAAAAGAAGGCAACCTCTTTAAGACCTTACGCACCGCGACCAATATTGGTCTACTGTGCGATCAACATTATTATCTAGAATTCACTAATTTCGTGGTCCGCTTGACCAATTAATATTACAATTAATTAAGGTTTTTAGTTGAGATAAAAAAGTCAATGGGACGAGCGGGATTCGAACCCACGATCTTCGGCTTGATACGCCTCTGCTCTCCCACTTGAGCTATCGTGACCTCGATCCACTCGGACACCAACTTCCCATCTCAACCGCACCTTTTGAATTTTCCCTCCTTTTTGCCACTTTTCAAATGTCGTGTAATCGGGTTGGATTCTCGACGACAAATGGCCACGGAAAAAAATAGCAAAAAGGAGGGAAAATTCAAAAGGTGCGGTTGAGATTGGAAGTTGGTGTCCGAGTGGATCGAGGTCACGATAGCTCAAGTGGTAGTGCAACGGCGTATTTAGCCAAAGGTCGTACGTTCGAATCCCACTTGTGACACGGACTTTTTTATCTTAACCAAGAATTTACATAAAAAGAATAATTAATTAAAATAATTATCTAGTATCGTTAGGCTTAAGACTTTTTATCAGATCCCAAAGCTTTGTTAACGACTATGTTTATCCTCCAGGCCTAGGCTTTACCTCTCCTAGGAATCACAGCCTGGATAAGCTTTCGCACCAACAGAAGACATGTTCTTCTTCTTCTTGACAAAAGCCACAGTCTCCGCCTGAAAGACTGGCACAATGCCCAAGACTTATTTGGACTTTCGTTTTGGTTTATTTCTATAAATTCAAGCTCTTGTCCCATACTCGATATTAGTGCCATTTGAAGACCAGTTATAGTCAGTCGGCTTTGACTTGAATCCTTTTTGCCCAAGCTTCTCTATCTTGTGTTAATTAGAAATGTTTGTATCAAATCGCAATTTTTTCGTCAACAGGCTCCTTAGAACTTTAACTGCCTGAAGTTCCTCCCCAAGCTTTAACCGATTATTTATAAACACGTATAGCAACCTGTCCCTGAATCAGTATTTGAAATGTGACACTAGCCTCTCCCTCGATGAACAATATGCAGTGAAGGATAATCAAAAGGACTTCGGGACAGCAGTTCCTAAGTAATGACAAGGCATGCTAGTTTCTGATCAGTACTGAGAATCCTGACTGGCTTAGGTAACAATAAGGACATTTTTGGACTAGCTCTCTGGTTTCCCAAAAGAAATTTACTTGTACATACACCTATTGCAATTTACGCGTCCCTGTGTGATTTTATTTAGGTCAAAGATAACGTCTAGATATTTCAAAATTACAGCTTGTGCATAAGTCCTCCCTTCTGTTGGTAGAGGGACCACAAATAACTCAAATAGAGCTATTCATTAAAGTTTATCATACTCTGTCGCTAAACAACAACTACAACCCCCAAGGTTTCGTGAAAGTGTCATCTACACTGGTTCGAAATGTCGTTTAGATCTCACAACAAAACCTTCTAGTCGCCAAACTATTATTACGTATATTTGTTATGTTTTCAACGAGATTCAGGTTGTTTTATTTCTATGATTTTATACAGAAAGCATCAACTTTTTAAAAATGTTATAAAATATTGTTCTTCAGATCCAACTAACTAACACATCTAAGTTTGAATTGAAGAATGAATTTGTCTTATTTATTCGTTGAACATACAGAAGTTTGTCTCTATATTAACGTTTTTTTTCCGGATATGAGCTATCAAAGACTTGCCACCTACACATTTTTCATGATCCTATTATATTTCTTTTTTCAGTACGGATGGTTACATCAGTATAAGGACTGGAACTTGGAGAAGTTTGGCCCGTTCCCTTTGATGCCTCTTAAGGCCAGGACGTCTTTCACAAAGGAAGAGATCGACGACATGATCGAACTGAAGAAGAAGGAACGACGCAACAAAAGGCGTAATTTAATGAAACACAACTAAAACATGATCTGTAATTTATAGTGGTTCTCTGTTTAAAATGAATAAATGGAATTGCTTTGTCATTGCTGTTTTAAAACCGTTTTTGTTACTATCTTCGCCTTGAGGAGAGAGGATCGGTCCCTCAAAAGTTTTAATGCGTTTAAAATTGGACCTGTGGGAGTTGGGGTTGCAGCGTAGGGCAGGTACGCAATTACACCACCGCCCTCTGTGAAATTATGTTGTTTACGACTAATCTTCGGTTTAATTGCGGCCATTATTATGTCATTAAATTCCACCGTTATTCAATCGTTGGATGTACAGACGCCGGCGGTGAGCAAACGCCTGTGAATAAATCAAATGTTTTTACGGTACAATTAGAATTTACAATATATATGTATTTAATACGATGAGTTTCTGTTGTAAAATATGTCAAGATGGGTAGGAAGGGAAGGGACACATGGTGTAGGCAATATCGGTTTTGCGGCCTTCGCAATATACTTGGCGGGAAGCTACGGTCATTAATCAAACAAATTGAAATAATCCCCTGGGGTGACTCGGACATCAAAAATTAAGCCGGGGCCAAGTTGTCTGATTGATCGGAGTCGGGGGAGGCCTTGTCCTAAGAGGGTGGATTTTAGGCTGCCGGGGGAGGAAGAGGGTCATCCGGAGTGGACACCATTATCAAACAAATTGACGGCTCAGCTATATCCGGGGGGAGGGTAATAGGCCATTTAATAATAATTTTGTTTGTTCAAGAGTGAGCTTATGTGAAGTAAAACGCAATACCATTTAACATATTCAATTAGTCATTATTATAAAGTTCAACACAAACGTCTTTGCATCCTTAAAATCTTTGCCAACTCGTACAAGGATCAAACCATTAAACATATTGACGTAAAATTGATTACAAATTTGTTAATTTTTATTCTTATTTTCAAACTGTCACGACCAATGTTTCAGGTTTGTTTAAATCTTTTGCGATTCCTACGTGTGATCTGTGAGGTTATTGAGCCTATATTTTCTTCTTTTTTTTAAATTTTAAATTTCCAAGTTTTCAAGAAAGATAATTTTTAAGTAAGTGTTTTGTAGTTTCATGAAAGTATGCATTATTTAATGTTATCGGTTTATGTGAGGTGCGTCACGTAGTGACATATTTCCTTAACTATTTCACATGTTCTTTGTATCTTTTATTTTTCCTTCTTTCTGTTCTGGCTTATCTCCCCCATTTTTGATAAGTTGGTTGTTGTTTCAAGTTCTTTTTTTCTGCCTCGGTAAATATAATTAATTTTTACGTTTCTTTCTCTATGTATGTGAAAGTGGTCCATTTTTTGCCCGCTTTTATAATGTCGTTTTGTGTTTGATTGTGTTTTTGTTGTTGTGTTTGTGTGAAATCAGTTATTGCGTGCTATGGTTTTGGTTTCCATTAACTTTTACTTTAGCGATGAAAATTTAGTGATTATAAATAATTGTCCTTAAGATGTCTCAACGGTGAACATAACTCACACAGACGGAGAAACAGAGAAGAAGACAGATAGTTTATATACCAACTGAATCACAGACAGACAAGAAGACAGCCCAACAAATAGAAGAGAGAGAGAGAGAGAGAGAGAGAGAGAGAGAGAGAGAGAGAGAGAGAGAGAGAGTGAAACAATGAGGATGACAGACAGTTGATATACCGACTGAAAAACTGAAGAAGAAAACAGGTAGATAGATAGACAGATACATAGATAGTTAGATAGAGGGAGAGTGAGTGAGAGAGAGAGAGAGAGAGAGAGAGAGAGAGAGAGAGAGTGTAACATTGAGGACAGACAGTTGATATACCAACTGAAAAACTGAGGAAGAAAACAGATAGATAATCGGCAGATAAATAGATAGATTGATAGATAGATAGATAGACAGATAGATAGATTGATTGATAGATAGATAGATAGATAGATAGATAGAGAGAGAGAGAGAGATAGATAGAGAGAGAGAGAGAGAGAGAGAGAGAGAGAGAGAGAGAGAGAGACAGAGTGAATGAAACAGTGAGGAGAACAGACAGTTGATATACCAAGTGAAAAACTAAGGAAGAAAACAGATAGATACATAGACAGATAAATAGGTAGATAGATAGATAGATCAATCGATAGATAGATAGATAGAGAGAGAGATAAAGATAGAGAGAGAGATAAAGAGAGAGAGAGAGAAAGAGACAGAAAGAGAAAGAGAGAGAGAGAGAGAGAGAGTGAGAGGAAGAGGGACAGACAGACAGGCAGAGTGAGAGAGAGAATACTGTATTCTAGGAATATACTCCCCTAGGTATAACAATAAGGTCACAAACTTTTTTATCATTCTGGCACTTCACTTAATGAAAGTTTGACGTTAACATATAATGAAATAAATTGACGCAAAACACATACTGCACAATCTAAAAAAATAGCTATAATAACAATTTAGGGCAAATGGTAATAATAAAGAACATTCTGTCATGTGAGATCATAATAAATTTTAAACTGTAAACTTACAAGTTGGATAAAGATGGAAACAAGCTTTCTGATGTAATAAAATGATCTAATCAATTGTTGACTATGTCGGTTGGAAGATGAGGTGTTTTACAGGAGGGTTTTAAAAGAGGTAAGGGAGACGGCTTTGCGGATTGGCAACAATTTCAGTACATGTTTGATGTTCCAACATATGTTGTTATTATGCGTGTTATTATTTTTATGACTATTTTTATTTACTGTCCTATACGATATATAGTTTATCTAATTTGTTAATTGTGTTTGAGTGTAGTTAACTAAATTTAGTGTTGAATAATTATTTTCTTGAAAATTTTCGTGAAATTTTGTTACTTACCGTAACCGACATATGCCGACATTTAGTTTTCTTCGTTTCTCAAATTTAAAGAAAATAACTGGCAAAATGAAGCAGACTTTTTCTTATCTTATTCTTGTAAAGAAATTGAAAAAAAAAAAGCATGATGAGTAATTCGAAATGGATTCAAGCCACGATTCCTTCATCGTGCGTTATGATGAATGGTCCACGATGACATGTACATATGCTCCCGACTTGTTGTTATCCATAAACCTCATTCACCCTCGCTCCTCCGACCCTCAAGGGCTGAATGGACAACGGGGAAAAAACCCGTCCCATCCCACACACAGTCGCCGCAACAGTGAGTTGTCACATCAATTAAACTGCAGTTTCATTTCCCTTTCCGCTTCGTCTGTTTTCTCAATTTTCTACAGACCGGATGAGGAGTAGGGATTTTATCTTTTGTTGTATTCCAAAACTGATTTAGATTCCTTTTTGCCGTTTTTTCAACCCATTTTTGATGTCGAAAAGGTTCAATATTGATTTCAAAAAATTTCCTTGGGAGGGAGAGTAATTAAAAACTATAATCGGTCGCAATTGTCTCTAAGTTTTAATGCCAAGTATATTCTTACAAGGTGTGTTTTTTTTTTAAATCTATCCGTACCCTAAAATGAGTATATATTTATATACAATACTTGCAGTGACAATAAACATACAAAATATTTCTTAATTTTTTTTATGTTATATCATATAATATATATTATAACAATCAATTTTTTTAATAATAAAAATTAAAACAATTTAGCCAAGCTTTTTATTTATGTACAAAATTGTACCTATGTACACAATTTTTGTTGAAAACAATTAAAAATCAACACAATTTAGAAATTAACAATAATCAATAACATCGATAATCGTAAAAACATTGATTTAAACTAATTAGTCCCGTTTGGTAAGATTTAATATTTTTTCGAGGGAGTAGTAAATACCAGGAGATGGGAGGGTTTATTCACATAATTTAAACACGATAGATTACAGTCAACAACTTTTTACACAAATTATTCACAACTATATAATCAATATGAGAGAGAAATCCAAAGGTTATCACAATCTGTACAAGTATTGCACTGGTGGCCCCGCGTCTATGAGATCTCTCAGCTGAGCTGGTAATACTCCGGTGCGAAATCGTTGGCGAAGTTGGTGAGGAAGTTGAAATCCGACGAAGAGTTGCTGTTTTCAGAAGGTTGCTGCGCGTTGGCCGGAGCCTGGTCGGGGTAAAAGTGGTGAATTGAATTGTAGTACTCGCCCGAGGAATCTGTCCTGACCGAATTGGGCGGAGTCATGACCGCTGCAGTAGGCTGCTGGTTCGCAGGAAACGGATCAGGCGATGAGACGCCGTAATGCGGTACCGAAGACGCCTCGCCTCCTTGGTGGTTCATCTCGTAATAACCACCTGGTGGTTTCCCCGGGCTGTATTCCACGTTTTGGTACGTCTCGAAGTACCCTTCAGCCGTTGTATGCATTTCGGACGAATTTTGATAATTCTGGTAGTAATTGTTATATTCCGGATCGTACTGGTAATTTCTTTGATAGTACTCTTGGCTGTATCCGTTGTACTGACAGTACTGCGGCGGGTATTGTTGGAAATTTCTAGGCCGCGGTGGGTGCATTCCGTTCGGCCGAGGGCTTTGCTGTCTATACTCGAAAACCCTCTGGTTGTATTCTCTTGGGTTGTACGTTTGCCTGTATTGCATCCGTTGAGGAGGAGAAGGAAAAGATGCGCTGTTCTTGCCCTGAGCGATCACAGGATTCGACATGTTTGGCAATATGGCAGTAACGGATGCCGTTGCAGTCGCTACCGCTGTTGCAGCCGTCGGTGAGCTCCTTCTAAAAGGAGGATCCGTCGTACCGACAGGGGTACCGGGCGTGGTCGCCGGCGTCAATGCTTTAATCCCAAGATCTGGAGATATTAACCTACTTCCCAAATTTTCTTTCCCTAGTTTTTTATTTCCAGGCGACGCGCACATCGTGATGCCCGATTCCGTTTTCACTACCACTTCACTGTGTCTTTTCCCTTGAAGTAGACCCGGCGAAGTCAGCACCCTGCTTTCGTTTGACCGCGAATCTTCTTCTAGCTTCTCGAACGAGCTCGTCGTACTCGTGACGCTGCTGGCTCCACTGCTTGCGTTGCTGTTGTTGTTGTAGGTTGAGTTATTATTGTTATTCCTTGACAAGTGTTCGCCAAGCATGCCAGGAGGGAGTTCGCAGTTCTGGCAGCTCTTTTTGCTCGAATCGTCATGAACCAGGATACCTTTGTCGCCTCCTTTTGCTTTGGCCGTCTCCTTTTCATCCCCGTCTTCACTTTGCTTACTCAAAGTCTGTCTTTTGTGCTTCATTCGCCTATTCTGAAACCACACTTTCACCTGAAAAAAAGCAAAAATAAATTATAAACAAAAATACTATTTTAAGAAAATAACAATAGTACCCAGAAACACTATTCGAGTAATCTTCATATTATAAATGCACAATAAAATTAAAGTAATAAAAGTTATTTTTTCAAGGTTGCATTGGAAAAAGGAAACAAGCGAGGATATGCAGACCAAAATGATATGAAATGACTATAAGGCTATTAAATCCAATTCACACTATCTCTTTTTCTACGGTGTCTTCTACTCTGGACATCATTTTCAAATTAATTTGTAATCTTTAATTTTTTTTTCATAAGTAAACCGTTTGTTTCGGTAGGATAAGGTTTAAATTTTATGGCAACTGCCTTGAGTAAAAACCACCTATTCTTTTTTTTCTCTCCAGCTTCTAGCGATGGGCAGTGGCTGTGAAGTGAGCCCATCTGCCCACTCCATCAGAGATGCACATCTGGGTGAAACAATCTCGGTAATTACAGCAAGTGTGGGACTGGGAGCAAGAATGCTTCCTTCCTCGGCGACCTTTGTTAACCGGGGAAAACCGAAAACATCTCAAAAGGGAATCTTTTCTGGAATAAGTTTCCATAAAAATAGAATAATAAGTACTAACTTAATTTTTTTATAGTCATGTTATGCAAAAACCATCGTATTTTTAGTACAATTATTTTGTTTGAGAACAGTACTTTATATACTGAAAAATATAGCAATAATCTTTATTGGATAACTTACAAGCTGAAAGCCGGAATAAAATATATTTCAAAGTTACAGTAAATTTCTATTTTATGATTTTGATTTGTTTCCGTTGATCTTCCTAATATTAAAATCAGTGATGATAAAAGATAAGAATCGCGTGGACCTTCCACGAAAATAAAATAGTCGCTTCGAGCACTTATAAGTAAGTGTAAAAAAATATTTATGATAGGATGCTATTAGGCTAAAAGGGTTGTAACGTAATACGTGAGAGGGTGCAGTTCCCTACTGAAATATGTAGAAAGGACGACTTAATTAACTAATAACTTATGGAAAAAAACGAACTGTGCGCGTGAACATTTCTATTAGAAAAAACCCGATTAGAATATCGTGACGTGTTGACTTTAAAATAGAGAGATGCCTCTATCAAATGAGATCGTGACAAAGTTATAAGGTTAACTTCCGGTGAAAAAGTTCATAAACATAAAATCTTAAATATGTGAATTAAGAATTTACAGCTTTATTTCTACAAACAAAATTACTGGATAATATGCCTACTCAATTCCTTAAAATTATCCATTAAATGTTGTTTAAAAAATCCATCATGCTAGTTTTTAAGAGTTCAAATATATTAAATAGTAGCTGTGAGTTCAAAGATAAGTTCTAATATCTATGAGTTAAGCTAGAATTCTAAATTTTAAGATAAATAACAAAATTGTAGAAATCTGGACGATCATGATTCTCACAAGGTGAAGCCGCTGCTAGTAGATCCCGCGGTCATGTGTGAAATTTTTTTCCGACCCCTAATGGAACCGGTGGCTGCAATGAAAATTGACGCGGCACTCATCAATGGATGAAAAATGAAAAGAAAATGATTCGATAGAAGAACAGCGGCTAACCGAGGGCTTAAAGTCGAAGGTCGTGGGTTCAAGTCCCGCTCGGGACACTAATTTCTCTTCTTCACCGTCTCTGCATAAAAATTTAAATATTTAAGATTACTTAAGATAGTTATATCCAAATAACTTTAAAATAGGTCGCAATCTTGACAGTAAGAACTGAATTCGTGATTCAGATTATTGTGGAATTTTTTAAATTATACTTTTAACAAATCTAATGATATAAAAAATATATTATTGCTTTGACGTACATACGATAAAAAGAAGAATAATATTTTTGGTTTAGCAATGGAATTTCATGGCTACTTGACGGAAAGTAAACAAAATTGTAAGGGTGTGTTTTGTAACTTTACCAGACCACATCTCACGATTTCTGAATAATTATCGATTAACGGTCACTAATCACCACACGTTAATAAAATTATTAAGAGACCTCAATTTCAGTTTATTTAAGGCTCTTGTGTTTTACTGAAGGAGTCTCCAGGTCAATTGATTTTCTTTACAGATTATGTCTTCTTAAAAATGGGTCGTCCTTTTATGAACAGGGTCGCTATCTACCTATATGTATTAATTTTCTCCATGGAATTTGTGTAATTTGAATATTTCCTATGACACTGGTACCCAAGATGTCATTAAACGCTTTCAGTAAAAATATTTCCAGTAAAAGTTGATACTTTTACTATATAAGTTTAATAAATTTCGTATGCCATTATTTTCCAGTAAAAGTTGGAAATAAGGTAGTGCCATGTACACATCCTTAGTATCTCTTGCTTTAATTTTGTAAACAGACGAAAAAAAAAGTCACTCACTCTTTTCTTTATTGTAACAATTCGTTTACTATTTCACTCCCAGAGAAAAAAGAGAGAGAGAAAGAGAGAGAGAAAGAGAGAGAGAAAGAGAGAGAGAAAGAGAGAGAGTGAGAGAGAGAGAGAGAGAGAGAGAGAGAGAGAGAGCGTGAGAGAGAATGGTTAATTATTATTTTTTAATATTTGTCATATGTTCTATCTTTTGGAGACCAAGAAAGATTGAGAGAGCAGACAGACAGACAGAAAAATCAGACAAATTACTGAATCATTTTAAGGTTTAAGACGTATGTCAAAAGAAAAAACAAATCTAATCAAAATTTCGTATAAAGCAAAGGAGCTCTCGTCTCTCAACTCCCGCGGGGTGGAATTCGAGAATAGATTTGTATTCTGTTTTGTCGCCAGGTTTGTTTGGCCAGGATCACAATCCAATAAATGTATGCGAAAGGGTGGAACAGGGGGGCGAGGGTATCTCTCCAGTTTCTCTGGATGGTGGGAGGTGGGTTGAACGGGGGCGGCGTGGCCGGACAGCGCGGGGGCGGCTATCAAATTTGCGCAAGTCTGAGAGGCGGTACCTGTCGCTCGGTGAGGTCCAGGGAGGCGGCGATCTCTATCCTTCTCGGCCTGCACAGGTACTTGTTGAAATGGAATTCCTTCTCCAGCTCCAGGAGTTGGGTATTGGTGTACGCGGTTCTCAGTCTTCTGGGTAGTCCATTCTCTGTAACAATGTAAAAAAAATTTCATTGTCAACACAAAAACAACTTTTTAAGTCGTACAAAATGTTTTATAAAATATTAGGTATAGACTATGATTGAGAAATTTCAATTTTCTTCTCCATTTTATATTTATAATCGTTGGATGTCGCGGACAACGGATAGAACAGCTTTACAATACATTTTTCTATATTATTTTTAATTAAAATTTCATGGGTTATGGGGATTCGAACTCAGAACTAGCCTGATTAATACGAGTCGGACGGCTTGACCACGCGGCCACCGCGGTGGTGGACTTTGGTGGGATGAGTAACTTCGTAGACAAAAAAAAATTTTAAGTGGTAATTTCAAACATAAAATCAAGGGATGATTTTTTCGAGCAATTGCTGATTGAGCGGTTTCAATAAGGAAGTTGTTTGAATGCTTGATTGAACTCCAGACTTCTATTCCTTAGTCTATATATNGTGCCGTGTCAATTTCTTTCAATTGCGGCCACCGGTCCCCTTAGGCGTCAGAAAAAGTCCAGAGGCGACGGTGGGGATCGAACCCACGACCGCGGGATCTACTAGCCGAGAATCTGACGCCTTAACCACTCGGCTACCGCGCCCCCCTAGTCTATATTAGTTTTAGTATTCAGCTGGACAGAGATAAACTGGATCGTTTGTCCAATAATGAGAGAATTTTCTATTGTTTTATTAGTTATTTTCATTTAACTCTTGTGAGCTGTAGGAAACGGAAACATTATAAAAGTATAATGAGGCCTAATAATCCTGAAAATGTCTAAGGTTATATGGGTGGATTTGTTTGGCATGTAATGTTTACCTTTCTTTCACCAAGATCCCATAGTATGAGATGGTGAAGGTTTCGATAGAAAAGAACAGAACAGAAATGCTGAATCGTCTGCGAAGGTATACAAGTATGATGATATGTGTATGAGATGTAATGTCAGCTGTGTATACTTGATACAGTATGGTGACCCTCACGCTGCCCTGAGGAACACCAAGTTGGATAAATAAGCAGAGACCCTTTAACGATTTGAGAAAACTGGTCACTCAGGTAGCAGTGAAGTATGAGATAAACCAAGGGGTCCGAGATAATACCTACGACGATAGACACTGTCGGACTTTAGATGAAGTTGAAGGAAAAACAATATTTTGGGAATATCGCACCTTAACTGTTCTGGAAGGAGAAGTATGGGGCCAGTACACCTCCCTGAAGAAAACCAGTATGCATAAGCTAATACGCAGAGAGCGTTCAATGGCTCGAAAAAATTAGTCAGTGAGGCAGCTGAGAAATATGATATATTAGGAGGAGAGAAGGATGTCTTTTAGCATGAAATGCAAGCCCGAGTGCTAAACTTCATCCAAAACTTATGTTTTGGCAAGAAAGGCTCTAAAACAGATCTGCACTAACTCAAAACAGGAGGAGATAATGTCTAATTGTAAGACGCGATGACATTGTTAATGGATTGATCGGCAGTCGTGACGTTAATTTTAACTAATTATTCTTTTAATGTAAGGTCTTGATTGAAAAAAAGTCAATGAAAAATGGTAAAAAGAGGGAAAATTCGAAAGATTGAATGTTGAGATGGGGAGTTGGTGTACGAATGAATCGAAGTCTCGATAGCTCAAGTGATTAGAGCAGCGGCGTATTGAGCCGAAGGTCGTGAGTTCGAAATCAGTTCGTGATACTAACTTTTTCATCTCAACCAAAACCTTAAATAACCAGAATAATTAATTGAAACGAGTAATTTGGTCAATTAGACCAGGTGATACAGGTTTCTAGATGATAAATCAAGATCGATGTTACTCGAGAAAGGCAAGGTGCAAAGGTAAAGGTGGTGTGTAAAACATGGACTGTCAGGTGTGTTTACTTGACATTGGGGCAAGTAGGATATCCATAGAGACAGAATTCAATGGCTCGGAAATATTGGTAAGATAGCTGTGAATATGAGATAGTAGAAGGAAAAGTCGTCCTGCCCGTGAGCCTGAACTACAAGTCGGAGAGCAAAACTCTGCCAAAAGTTAAGGAAAGGCAAAAAAAAATTGCCCCAACGTAGGAGGATTTAACGCCTGCAACGCGCGGACAGTGTTGTATAGTTGCAGAAAGTTGTGGAAACGCCGAAGATAAGGTTAATCGTTTAAGAATTGACGTGGAATATCAGTTGTGTACAGTAAATATAGTCTGGGGGCCATATTAATATACAAAATCCAAGTAAATGTTGATGGAAGCGCTGGAGGGTAAAGTTGGAGTTTTTGGATTTAGAAGTATTTGCCGTTTTGCGAACCACTGCTCTCCGTACATATCAGTGAACTATGACAGGATCAGGATTTGATAATGTTATGGTGGTGTCATAAATTTGAGAATTGTACTGTCAGAATGAAACGGAATATCGGAAGTGAGTGGTACACCTATGCACAAGGTGGGAAAAAGGAGGCAAAAAGGAGGGAAATTCAAAAGGTGCGGTTGAGATGGGAAGTTAGTGTCCGAGTGGATCGAGGTCACGATAGCTCAAGTGGGTTCGAATCCCGCTCGTGCCATTGACTTTTTTATCTCAACTAAAAACCTTAATTAATTGTAATATATTAATTTGTCAAGCGGACCACGAAATTAGTGAACCTATGCACAAGGGAGAATCCAACCAAAACTCTTAAGTGTCAGACATTTGAAAATTAAAATGTGTATTAAAAGTAGGATGTCCTTCAACTTCCAGATTAAACCCTAATGCAAGACTTAATAATAGCTTGTTCCATATCGAAACGTCTCCCAGAAGGTCTATTTCTTCCCCAGAGATGAAGAAATAAGACGATAGTACTTATTTATAGTTGAATTCCTCACTTCAATGCTGTAAGCCCATAGGCTTTGATGTGACTTTTGTCATGAATCTCTTGTCAGCTAGACGTTCAATTAGTTGATAGGGTCGGTTCGCTTCTCTTGTTTTAAGCCGTGTATAAGTTTTCAGGTGAATCGCTTAAGGCAGACCAAGATAATGTAAGATTTTTTTGTTTGGAAAAGGAATAAAGTTGTAACATTGCAACTGGTGTTCCGGAGGTTAAAGTTCATGCTTTTCACTTAATAGGCATGCAGTTATATGTGCCATTTTGTAAAACATTGATTTAAGGAGTTTGCGAGAATCGTTGTGGCAGAAGTGGTTATCAATGGAACCAGGACAGTAACATGCGGAACACCTGCAGCGACCTTACATGAAGAAAGATCCAACGCAAATTCACGTTTAGTCATATGTAGGATTAGAGGATTAAAATATGTGTAAAGGATAGATGCATTAAAGCTTTCAGAGTAAATCATTATGCCAGACTTGATCGAAAGTTTGTTCCACATAGAGAAAAGCCCCCGAACAGCACTCCTTGTTGAAAGAGGGATTTTAAAGTTGATGCTCTAGTAATAAATAATAATAAATTTTATAAGTTTTTGCTGTTGTGATCTATTGATTTTAAAATAAGAGAACCTGTCGAAGACAGCTAGTCAATCAAATCTTTTTCACAGAGATATTAAATCGTACCCTCCAAGTGCTCAATAGGGAGGTCTGCATATATCTGCATAAATCGGAGAGGTTGCGCAAGAGAACAAGAATGAAAAATGAAGAGTTCGTATGTCAGGTCTGTTGGCTTCTCCCGTCCATTTGTCAAGGCGCGGCGAGTCTCCGAATCATTTTTAACCCCCACGCCCCGCAGTTTTTCTTTGCGAAGGAACTCACCCCCGACTCCTTTCTTGCCTGCATCCCATGGATATTGAAAACAATGTCTGCGAAAGGGAGGGATGAAGGGAAAAAGAAGGCATCATGCAAAAAGCCGCTCGCGGATTGATGTGCCCTTTATGCCCTGTGTATTAGACAAGGGTGGAGGAGCCCTCCTATATTAAATTCACCTGCGACAGTTGGCTTCTCAAGGGAAAGGGACTTTGTCATATGACAGATGGAATAATATTTTGACAGTGTTATTCGCTTCTCTCGTCCTCCTGTTCTTGGAGATGAAAACTTATCCAATAAGGTGTCCTCGCTCCCTCTCGCTCATCCGATCCCTCACGGCAAAATGACGTCACGTGTGCCTCTCCCTTCGTTCAATTCAAAGTCGTAATTAACGTAAACTTTCCAGGTAATTTAGATTTCATGACTTAACTCAAGCAGGCCTTTCTTCTCAAAAAAGACAATTTAAATCGTCAGTTATAACGGTAGATAACTATTAAACTTGGGAAAAACTTCGATCCTATTTTTCAAAATTCGACGTTTATCCTCTTTGATTAATTGACGAACCAACTGGCGTCAGTAGCAGGGCTGTGGATGGAAAAAATAAAATACTTCTTCTTTCTCGTTCATAGCAGATGGCGTTTGTCGAATTCGTTTTTCCCGTTTTTTTTGTCCTGTCCTTTGCGACAGATGAGGTACAACATGAAAGATACTTCAAATTGTCTAAAACTCATTAAGTTGCTGATGCTTGTCATTAATGGTGCTCGGGCTTCGAATTATCGGGAAACTTATATGTTCAAATATAAAAACATTTTACCCGGAAAAACCCAAGAAAAACCTTTACCATCAGACTTTTCTTCCTTCTATGTAGTTATTCAGAATAGCACTTTCATATATCAAGTTAAAAGATGAAAAACGAGCAAAATTTGTGAACCCAGACACAAAAGGACGTGTAAGGCAAGAACGATGGCCATACTGTTGAAAGAATTTAGCTCATCTAGCTTAGATACTAATAGCTTTTATGAGAGACAAGTATTGATGTGTCACAGGCAAAGGTGAAAATGAAAAGTTTAGAGTGAGTGGGAAGATCAGCCGTGTAAGTGAATATAGGAGAAGAGCGAGTACGCTACCGTGCGGAACACCAGCTAGAATTGTCAAAGGAAGGAAAAAGAATGACTATAAAGTACAAGGAAGGATATCCTGAGCTTCCATAGAAGTACCAAGGCATGTCAAATGTCACAAAAATGTACAGGCAGACACACGGTTGTCTTGTATTTGTCGTCTTTCCTTGTGGCACTCCTG